AGGGGTGGAGCTTGTTGGGGAAGAAGAAAATAACAATACAACGGGCCGAGCTTTTCTCTGTCCGTCTGCTGTTCAGGGTGCCAGGGGACTCGGTTGTCTGATGTCTGTCAGTTCCGAAGACGTTGGGATGATTCAGATCAGGTTTGATCGGCAAGGTTTTCAAGGGACGATGCTCCGAGACTTGCGGCGACAGGGCCAACAACGACGACTAAGGAAATGCGGGGTGCAGCGGAACACCACAGCATAATTCGGGAAGACCATCGTCAAGTGCGGCTGCTTTTTTTTGATAGCATATCCTGGCCGCGCATCATGCCAGATCGACTCCTGCAAGTGAAGGTGGAAGCGGACACTTTGGGCAACACGTTCTTTGATCATCATCCATCGTCAGCTCTAGTTCGTCCCAACTCTCAGATGAAGTCACATCTCCCGAGAAGTCACTTCGTTGGCGGATCATTAAAATAATTTATTGTTGGTTTTTCTTGGCCTGTCGACCGGCACGTCAGGAGTTGATGTGCAGAGCCGCGGCCTGCTTACGGGCCCTTCGCTGTCGCGAGACCTTGAATCACAGAGTTGTTGTCATGACAATCTTCCGAGATGGGCCTGCACTAGATTACTCAACTTATTCAGGCCGTTTTCCTGGTCCGCTGTCCCGGACTTGAGAGCATTCTCCTCACACCCACTGAGAAGTCAGTCTTGTAGTGGTGGTGGTGGCACTAGTAGTGGCCGTCAGTCGAGGCTCTGCTTTGCCGCGCCGCCCTACATGCAGCAACGCAGCGTCGCTTGATCGGATGATGCCGCCCGCACCTGAGAGTTGAGGCATGGAATGGTTCAGGCACTTCCCATGCAGCTGGAACATCTCGGCAGCTGTGTCGCCGCGGGCCGCTAGCCCTGCAACCTTTTCGAATGCTGCAGAGGCGACAAAGTCAAAGCATGCATGAAGAGCAAAAGCGAGATGAAAGGGTCGTTCAATTCATCAAAGATGGGCGCGACGCATTGCCATATGCGCCTTTCTGGGTCTGATGGTCCAGACCACTGGTTTCCATCGCGCTTGGCGACTTGCCCCTGAATCACAACGGGCACTCTACGAATACCTTACGTATAACGTTCTCTTTGGGAATTTCTTGGGATTTCTGGCAACGGCAACGGAAGGTCACGGGCCTAGCTCCTAGAGACGACGCATGGGCCACGAACGTGGTGAGGTTGCAACCCGCCATCGGTAACCCATCTTTCCTCAACTAGGCACAGCCTGTCTAGCATTGTAGATGACAAGACAATACTGGGTCACATATAGCCTCTACCGAATGGCGGAAGCGCCCGAACCTTGAGGTCCTTCAATTCCTGCAGACAGTATGGCCAGATATTGTAGATGGCCCAGAGAATCGCACATAATCAACTTCCTGCGCCGTGGGCCTGATGTCTTCGGCGGAGTCTCCGCAGCATCACTGAAGCGAGAGACTAAGGCGTGGAAGCAATTTTGTAAGTTGTAACCAAATAGGCACTCGCATTACCTACCAAGTGATACGTCCGACACCTGTCTGGAAGCAATAAGCTTTCTTGTAGACTTCAAGGTGGGGGAGTTCGCGAACAACAACGGCTGGTAGCAACGCTTAAAGATAATCTTTGACGCAATGGCGCGAGCAGGGAAGTAGCGGGACAAGCTCCCACATCTTTCGTCCCAAGTCTACCGGTGCTTGGATGTTACTTTCACCAGGATCCGCAAAACTGACAGGCTCAAACAGGGGTACAAGCGGATGCGGTAGAATGACTCTGATGAGGCATTCGTTCGGAAAAACTGGAGAGTCAAGTCCGTAAGTCTCTTATCGTCTATGGCGAGACGGGTACGGAGTATCGTGGTCATCATTGGCAGCCAAACCAGTAAGACGGTTCGCCATGTCTCCTAGCGTTTACTTTACCTTGAGGGATTTCCTCATCAGAAGCCGATGCCCTCCAATCTTTAGCCCCCGGAAGTTCCTGACCGCGTGCTTCCTGTGCCTGATTTTCGGCAAAAGATTCGAGAATGGCATCTGGCCTTCTGTCTTGTCATCTGGAGTTGCGTACCCCTCCAACACACCCTGGCTGCCCAGGCTTTTTCATACCCACCCTCCCACACTTCCTGGATCCCCGTCGTGATGGGGCAGGGGTTAGAGGAAAGGGCCGCTTGTAGGCAACTCGACGGCGAGTGGCCCCCGGTCAGTTCAAGCACCCTCCAAGAGCTCGCAAGATGAGCATGGGATATGAGATGGGGTGAGATGAAGTGTGACGAGGACCAGCCAATCGACAGCTGCGCTGCCTTAGATGAGACGCCGGGTACCCAGCGCTTGCTACTCAATATCCTTTGTAGGGTCACCGTCTGGCTTGGGAGTCTACTCGGTGCGCATCACGGACGAGGGATCGTGCCAGGGAGTGTCGAGGGAAGATCACAAGCAGAGCAACTGCTGATTCTAGGGCCTCCAGACTACCCGGCGCTTATCAAGTCGAATAACGATCTAGGTACACGATCAATGGTATAGGGTCGTCACAGAAAGGTAAGGGAAGAAGGACAAAGACTATTCTGGGCAAGCGCTTTTCGAGAAGCAGTTTCAGGATACCTTTTTCAGAATCCAAAAGCCCATTTGCCCTTCTTTACTTTCCATTTTCGCCTAGACTCTGGGGTCATTTGAACGGCCTGATGACTTTTGGCTCCGGCTGTCTTCTCTAATTTCCTCGACTTCTAGCTAACTGCATGCCGTCCCACCGCACCTCCTTGTTCTTCTCCCCTTGTCATTATTGAATCACTTCTCTTCATCAAGAGTTTGGTTCAACCTCTCTGGTTGAGACCTCACTCATACTTCCCTTTTCATCCTCACACGGCAGACGCAAGCAGAGGGCCGAGCATCATCATTCGATGTCAGAGTGGACCGAAGTAGGAGGGGACCAGAACCAGGTTTTCAGGGTCCAGTACTTCCGCATCTGACCAGCTTTGCATCCCTACAAGACTGGACTCTTTTGAAAATTCTCACACCGGCCTCCTCCAATGACCGAAGGATTCCAGCGAGCCCCTCGCCACTGAGATCGCTACAACAGTCCTTTCCTATAAACCCGCCACATCTACCATCTCAGCTCCACACTGTAGCAACTCAGCTCTCGAGTCTTAGCAACTCAGCTCTCGAGTCTTTGCAACTCATCGCACTCTCTCAACGACTGCTCCGAAAGTCTCAAAGGCTCAAAGTCGTGGCCCGACGTCTTCGTCTCAGCCTCGAAGAGACTGTCCTACGATCAGACGAGTCTAAGGAGCGGTAAACAGACGGGCGAATAGGAAACATCCTATCTGCAGTCTGAGACAAGCTACCTGGCCCCCACGTACAGTTGTCACCAAACGTCCATCAATCATCGAGAGAGTTCCTGTTAGCGCGTACATTCAACTAATAAGCCGAGATTTTCATCTGGTGGCGCTGGAAAGGTACAGCAATCTGCCGCGGTCCATTCGCATTCGAACACAACGTTCTAGCTGCGTGGTACTACTTGGGCACTCCTTGAATGCAGCCACACGTCAAGCAAGGTATGTAAAACATCAAAGTTCTTCCCCCTTTTGGGTCTTCACTTGGAGACTGGCTCCCTGATGCCCCGCAAACTACTTGGTTTCTATCCATTTGCTCCTCAATCGTCTTCTTCGTCGGTGCCTTGCATCTGCCTTCTGACCGACTACTATAGTGAACCAAAAACCCTGTTTACACTTGCGAGCCCCCGAAGCAACTCAAAATTGGGATATCAAGGTTGAGTGAATTATAAAGCCAAGGCTGGGTTCCTTATACTCGAGAGGCGTTTGCTGTCTAGAACTGCAAGCCCATTGGCGGTTTTCTCTTTGACAACCATCTCCAAAGATCAGGTACACACCATCGATGCCCCATTCCCATGCAACGGCGCGACTCCAAAATACTTGACCTGGATGCCCAAAACCACAAACGTGTTATTGACACCCTTGTCGCCGTTGTAGTCCTAGAGTTTCCCAGAGTAACAAGGAAGGAAGTCGCTATCGTTCAGCAGCCTGTAACTGGCAAGGTACGTGCCTTTCTTTTCTTTTCTCGGATGTTTTCGTCATCCCTCCCTCGTGCGTTCTTTCCTCCTTCGTGGTTGGCCTCAACATCATGCAAAACCGTCCTTAGGGTTGAATCTTGTCTGACCACGTCTTGGTCTCATTCTCAGGCTTCGATACCTTCGTCTTTTTGTCTCCACGTCACACCTCCCACGCATCACCATCAACCGTCTCGACCCAATATACTCTCGATATAACTGCCGCAGCTGCTTGGCACGCATCCCAACGCAGAGAATCCGAGAACACGCTGTCTGCAGTTGCTGTTATTACACTCCCTCTTCCTACCTAACTTGGGTGGTAATCATCAGCCCACGGGACAGGGAAAAACTTGGGGAGCCGACCCAATTTTGACGGCAGCCCATTCAGAAAGCTTCCCGGCTTTGGTACACCATCCTGGCCGTTACCGCACTCGCAGCTTAGCTGGACCACTCAAGTCATCTCGATTGGTCCGTCCCTGGCATCGCTTTGTGCCGTGTCCGCATCGGTCATAACCGCGCTCTATCCGTACCGCACCCAACGCGACATCGACGGCAAATCTTGACCCGTCATTTGGATAGTCCCCTCGTGAACGCCTCCACAGAGTGTCTCTTGACAAACTTCAAGAACGGACCGCATTTTAGTTGATTGGTTTCCCGAACCATCGATTCCGGACCAACATCAGCAAGTCTCGACCAACGTTACGCCCGGGTGCCAAAGTTGTCTTGCCAGTTCAAAGGAGACAACACATCGAAACGCCATTCCCCATCTCCATCTTGTGACGCTTCGACGTCAAAAGGTTTATCAAGAGTATAGCAGTCTAGGTCTCCGACCTTTATATGGACTTCGCTGTCCGAGAAGGATTCGACTTTGCAACGTCACCGACTTTGGAGCGTAGGGTCCCATCATGTCTTACCAATATCCTGCGCATTTCCTTCCCCTCGGTTCCGACATGGAGGTTCCCCATTCTGGTTTCGCGCCCAACTATGGCGCATCAGGCTCGGGCCAAGCATCGATGGACCAGGGAACCCACGAGCCGACAGACCAGGAGCGTAGAGATTCCATCTTACAGGCGAGTCGTCGAAAATCGAAACGCTCCATGAACAAGCCTAATGTCAAACTGCGGCAGGCCAACATCTCTGATTCAAGTCAGTCTGGCCAAGCTGGAGACAAGAAGAGGAATAAGCTGGGCTATCACCGGACCTCGGTAGCTTGTGGTAGGTGGTCGTGCCCCGTTCCCCCGCGTCTCTTTCGAGGTTGTACTGACAACAGCAACGATAAGGACACTGCCGCAGGCGGAAAATTCGGTGCATAATGTCAGAGGTACAGGGCGATGGCAGATGCAGAAACTGCATCAGGCTGAAGAAAGACTGTAGCTTCTTCCCAGTAGACCAGGCGCCGTCTCAAACGACTGAAGCAAGACCCAAACCGCAACCGAGACCTGCCGGAGGATCCAACACCGGTTCCGCATCGTCTTCTCCCGTTGTACTTCCTGGACAAGCTCTAGAGGGATCCCAACACTATCAACACCATCAAGAAGGAGTTCTGCCCTCGTCACAAAACGTACTACCGACAATTGTTCAGACTTCTGCGGCTGACAATCTTGGTCAGGACCCCACAGGTCAGTTTCCACACAATCCGGAGACATGTCAAATAGCTAACAAACGAACAGTGCCTGCTTCGAGCACTACAACGTCTTCCCAGCCCTACGGTTTTGCGAACCCCCAAATTACGAACTGGGCATCACCAGATGTTAGTTCCAGCTATGCAACAAAGTCAGGTGACTTGAAGGAAACGAAGAAGTCTTACGCTGAACAGTCCCCGATCACTCCATCTCCGTCATTCTCGCCGTATACGTCCCAAGCCCCACCGCCAGCCAGCTGGAGCAACGCAGATATCAGTGCTCACAACAACATGGGATATTCGTCATTTACAATAGGGAACCCTATGGCATACCCAAGAGGCACGCAGATACCTACACAATACCCCACGATGTCACAGCAGACCCGGCAACTCCCCAGAAGGTCTTCGACGGCGATGACGACTGACATGTACACGAACCCGATTACGACAAGTTTTCCAGACATGGACCCGCACACTGTTTCCATGTCTGCAGGTGCCAACCCGCCTTCAGGTTACGGTACTTGGCCACAGCAACAGCAGCAGCAGCAGCCCCCCTACGGCTATTCAAGACTATCAGACGGATATGATACTTGGACGGCTTATGACAACAGCAGCGGAAGTTAGGTGCTTCCTAGCCGCAACCGTTCAGCATCGTCAACGGAAAACCTTAGGAAACCCGATCCCAAGCGTCCCACTTCTGCTTCAAGCTCAATCGAAGTTGGCATGTCGCATCATGAGGACGAGACGGAGCCTATGATTGAGAAATGAGAGAAAAACAAGAAAAAATAAATACCCTAAGCAAACACGGCGCTAAGTAGAGAAGCTAGGAGAGTAGTTCAAATCAAGGCAAAACCGGAAAAAGTATGTTCCAAGCGATAACTTTGAGTCCCTTGGAAAGAGTCGTGTTTCCGATGTATCGGATATGGCATTGGAGCGGCGCAAAGTATTCGAAAAGGGAGCTGATTCCCAGAACAAGAAACGACAGAAAGCAAAACATGGGGGTTTGGGGGATTTCAAAAGCAAAAGCAACCATATACCTCAGTTTCAAGCGAGGGGCAAGGGACACTGTCATGTCAACGACAGCTCTGCAACACCGGAATCGTACAAAACGCGTTGCTGGCAGACGTCAGATTTAAGTGCAAGCACATCGCGGAAGGGATGTTGCGGGGCCCCGAGCGCAAAGCGTATGGCCGATGCCGAGCAAGCGGGGAGGGGGAGGAGCCTATATATACCTAGGCGGAATACGAGATCACTTTTGTCTCGGGAACGCACCGTGAGACGGGGTTTTCGGGCCGGGCGTGGCGACCCCCACCGTCGGACAGTCGGACGAAGAGTCTTTCTTATTTCTTTTATGTTCATATTGGCAGCGAGCATCGATGAGCTATGGGAAGTTCAGAAGCGGTGGCAAGTGGATGAGGAAGGGTCCGAAAACAAAAAGGGGAGGGATCGCATTCGTCGGGAATGGAGACACACGCATTTTATACCACCGGCGTCATCATGACGCTTACCTGTTGCTCGTTTTTTTCGTTCCTTTTCTTCTCGTTTTCTTGTCTTCACTTCTATAAAACTCCTTCGATTCAAAGCACAACATTTCTACCCTACGGCTTTTATGGTTTCCTTGCCTTTCTTTTCTCTCGAGCGCGCGTCTTATCAGTGTATAGAATTCCCTGAGTTCCGAAAACTTTCTTCGGGAGTGGCCAATACTTCAATCCAGATTTTGTTATTGAGTCCGTTCATTCTTCCCGGGGCCATTGAATTTACTTCTAGATCTATCAAGCTCTTTCTTTTATCTTTGTGAGATCAAGCTCAGAACCCTATGGGATCGTGTTGAGGTTTGTCGTTGCCACCCGATGTTTTTATTCTATATATATATATACCCTAGGAGGCCTTTTATGGTTCCGTAATCTGGCGGAACCCCTATTTTTTCAGGTATCCGTCCCCGCGAGTGGCAACGCATACATAGGTCAAGGAGAGAGGTCTAGCTCACTCGAACAACCCTGATGAACGAGTGACTCTTGGCTTGAATCTGAATAGAATTTCGCCTGCTATACGACGGTCGTTTCAAACAGAGACAGAACGCCAGCTTCCAGACATTATCTCGACGATATGGCCCCCCTTTGTCTTCTTCAACTCCAAGTTTCCCTAAACCCGAGGACACCTGTTCAACCCCCCTTCCGTCCAGCGCCGGTGTAGACGGAGATCCTATCTCCCTGGTAAGCTTACAGACTGCACGAGGCGTACTAGTATGCCATTTTTGGATCCCATGTTTCTCCAAAGAAAATTGATGTCCCGATCCCCCGTCGCTGGTGCCCATTGGTAGTGAGGATATGTTTGGTGCAGCCGAGACCCGTCGCCTAGATCAGGAGTTGCTGTTCCGGACCATCGGTCGTTTGGTACGGCGTCGAGTTTCTGATAACTAGGCTGAGAGCATGTGATAGAGGAGAGAGGTCATGGGAAGCTCTGACCTTGTCTTTGGTCTTGATGAGTGATGAGTAATTAGTGGCTAGGTTCGGAAACTGAGATTCGGGGTATATGCTCTGATGAGAATAAATCATCGCGGCCTTGTACATTATATGGAAAAAAGAGATACCAGCCGCCATGATCACCAATCCTCCATCCTCCCATCACAAGAACCCAAGATTGCCTCTCCCCTCCCCTCCCCCCTTCGACTTCACTGCACAAGCTGCCAAGTAAGCACCAAAAGCGTAACATACGCAGCAAGACTCAACACGGTAAGCATCGCGACGCTATTCCCGCTCGTGCGGAACTTGCGCACCACGCCGCCGCTCACGACCCCGCTGCCCTCGTCCACCTTGGGGCTCGTGAAGAACTGGCGATTTCCCTCGTGCCGGCGGAAAATGGCGACGAGCATGACGGCGGCGCCGTAGACGGCGAATAAGGCGCCGATGGCGTAGAATTCCGAGGTGAAGATTTTGAGAATGATGAGGGCAAAGGAGAATTGGGAGAGGGCTGTGCGCATGTAGGCGCCTTCAAAGGTTCGTTGGGCGGCGCGGATCTCGACGAGTCTTTTTTTTTTTTTTGAAGGAGGTTAATCCTGAAAATACCCAACGGTAGATGGATGATTGGGGAGGGTTGAAAGGTTGGGACTCACTCTTCGGCGGTTAGGATTACAGACCGGGCGCGGTGGAGGCGCAGGTGAAGGTGGTCTTGGGGGTTTGGCTGTGAGGATGAGATAGAGCGATGGTGAGCCGCGGGAGTTCATTACGAAATCGGTGCCTCTAGACCCCGATGTGGCATTGCCGAAGATGCCGTCTTTTGAAGTGAGAATACGAACCTGGAACATTGTGATGGCAAGTGTTTGAGAGGCTCTTTACTGCGTCGCTGTCCCGAATGAGTCCGAGTCAAGATATCTACGAGCGAGACTGCAATATCGATGAGCCGTGTTGGATTATGACTGGGTAGTATCCGTATCTGGACGGCTTCTTCACTGAAAGAAATGAAGCTGATAGGAAAGCGACAGGGGCCGAACAGTCAAGTCATGAATGGCGGAATTCAGGGCTGAAATGGCTCCATCGCCATGGAGATACAGAGTAGATAGATCCAGAGCTGAGGTGTAGTGCTTTAGAGTTTCTGGGCAGGTGATCTCCACTCTTGCTCTTGGTTTGGTTGTCGACGTCGCCGAGGTGGATCAGGTGCCGTGATTAGATAAGCCCACCAAGACGTCCCCGAGGATGCGTTCATTACCTAGATATCAAGGTATCCCGGTATCCTTTCTTCGGCGGCCAGCCCAGAATGGCTGGCTACCATCTCATAGGATTGGTTTTGCTTGATTGTATGCTCTGTTCCTTATAGCGTTTGCATCGAGATCTCGAGGTGCTCTAAGGGCCTAGAAGACTTGATAGATGCCTGGCCCAAGCCTAGGTATTCCGTGGGCATCCATGCGTCTTGGTGTCCATTCATGGTCCCAGATCGCCGAAAGTTTTCCATACTCGGCGTCGAATCGACGCACTCGCTGCGTCTATTTCACGGTAGAACATGCCCCTTCGTCGAGCATTAATCTAATTAACCGCCAAGAGATCGCGTTTACTGAAGGCGCCCATTGATGGAGACTTGTCCGCCGTTCGCAGATCAGGTGGAAGATGGGGATTTCACTCGAGGCACACTCCAAGACCACCAATAAATATACAGATCAGGGTCTGCGGTAGCATCATTAGCCGCAGATAAGGCACAGAGACCAACAAGCGAGCATGGAAACACCGGTATTCCCATGCAAAGCGTGAGGCGTCGCCGACATGGACGGACGGGTCGGGGATGTTTGTGGCGCTGCGCAACCATGATGCCGCGGGTTTGGAGCGGCGGCCGGCGGGGTGCACCGCCAAGTCAGCGGTCAAGCTCAAAGACACAGCGCTTCTGCTTCGCCCAGGATCCCCAACTCGACTGAAATGTCCGAGTTCCATCACGGCGCTTGCGGCTGTGCATAATGGTGCTAGGCCCCACTAGCCAATGTCGCTTTCCCCAGTACTTCGTACCCAGTGCAGAGCGGATAATGGGGGGTTATTCGGTTTTTAGACTCTTGAATGCGAGAGCGATATGACGGCCGAGCTGAGAGCGTTCCTGCTGCCATATGGCCGGGCGATCCTTAAGCGGAAACAATTGTCGATATTCGCGACACTCTGCTTAGGGGCTGATGCGTATCCGTGGCATCTGGCACAAGGGCATGCATTCGTACGTTATTGTAGCTTTTCAACGAGAGGCATATGCCGTCGGATGACATCAAGCATCTGCAAGCCGGTAGGTCTGACGAGCGCTTTTCAAGAGTCTGGTATGTGGTCGGCATGAGGTGTTAGGCGTACAGCATCGCCGATAGAAGGTGCCAGGGACGATCCGGAGCTAGGGCCGGAAGTGGAAATCTGCCTTCTCGGTGAACACAGGCTGACCCAAGGTTTATCGATGGTCGATAACCAAATATTATGTCGAGGCCGAGATGACACTAATCTTGTGGCATTATCAAGCCCAGGGACAAGAATCCAGTGGCCCGTCCACTAAGGTACTATGAGGTGCGGCGATGGACGCTGAGGGTAAGAGCAGAGCGTGATCTGAGTGGAGGACTGAAGGTAAGCCACAGTAGCTTGCATCTGTGCGACAAGATGTGGTGGGATGCCAGATGGCAGACATGAGGTGGGATGGATGTAGTAAGTATTGGATCCATGCTCATACGGCGGCGCAAGTGTAAGACGGGGAGTGGGTGACGGGATGAGTGTGTGAGGTCTGAGGTGACTCTGAGTCTGAGGTCGAGGATGGTCGGGTGCCCCAGTTGCAAAGCTGCAGTGGAGAGGTAAAACTGCCCTGTGGGCTGGGGCTGAGAAAATGCGCCCAACGCCAGCAAAGAAGAACGCCTCGCGCAAATGGAAGAATTAAGACGATACTTTGATTTGCCGTGTGGGTGGGTGGTGGTCTCAGGTCCCTGGCCATCTGGTTCGCTTCTGGTTCGCTCCCGGCCCCCATTCCGCCCTACGAGCGAGTGCGCCTGTGGAGAGGTACATGTACCAAGGTACTTGGTGCATGTACGTATTGAGCTGTCAACCATTCAGAGACGTGAACGTTCCTTCCAGTTCTCGGAGTCTCCCAAATGCCCCACATGACGGAGCGGGGCAGCGTTGCTGCATGAGCCATGAGGAAGTCGCTGTCGACATGAATGATGAACGGGAAGGAAGCATGGAGCATACCTTACACAGTAGAGAAGGAGCATCACTAAGGTAAGGCATTCTGAGAATATCTTCTCGAACCTCAAGGTTCCGACAAGATATGGCAAGATAGGAATACGTCACATTTCCTCCAAGCTGGATTAGCATGTCAGGTACCTGATCTGACAATAATGCGATTCTCAACCGTACAATCCATCAGTGGTACAATCCATCAGTGGCGTTCTTAACCGAAACTGGGGATCAAGAAGGCGTGGTTCCTCCAGATTTCGGCCGAACACTTGGGAAGCATGTCTTCTCAACGATGCGAACAGACGGGCAGCAATTCCGCATGCCATCTCTACCTTGTTGTTGTCCGTACCTAGCCACTAGGTAGTCCGTCCTCAATCCTCCGTCCCCGTAGCCATAGGACATCATAGTATCGGTAAAGAACCTTGGTGACAAGAGGGCAGCGTTGTGGCGCATTCCCGCTTCGGTGGGCTGCGCAAGTGGCCGGCGTGCTACCGCTAAGGTACCTCCCACGCGCTTTCCCATTTCCACTGAGACAATGGAACCTGAATGTCGAGGGCGGACCGGACGGGACAGCTGAACCTGTTAGAGAGACGGGAGAGAGAGAGAGAGAGAGAGAGAGACACCAGGCAGACTGCCCAGGTCTAAGGTAATCCAATTGGTGTGTGTGTGGGTTGGCGGGCAGTGGGAAAAGCTCAGGTACCGAAACTCTCTCACTTTCGCAATCCAGTGTCACTTCTCCCTGAGTCTCTCTCGCTTTCCAATTCTGCTCGTGTCGAAAATTACCGACCTTCAGGTACTTACTATACAGACAGCACAGAAGAGGTACCTCTATCCTTACCAAAGGTAAAAAAAAAAAAAAAAGGTACTGTACTTTTTAGCCCTTCCCATCTTGAGCTTCAATTGACCCTGAGGCGCACCTTCGTGCCTTCGCCATGCACCTGCAAATGTCCGCCTAATTGCCTTATTAACTAAGGTAGGTAGGTCAGGTACCTGACTTCTCATTGGTTTCCGCCCCTCCTCGAGATGAATTCCGTCCTGTCTCGCGCTTGTCTTGTCACAATCGCATCCCCACCCCCAACCGTCTCTTACTTCTCCAAGGTTAGCCCGCTGGGTATCCGTACCTTGGGTACGCCTATCCAACCATCCCTCCCCTCGTCATCCCAAGATCATCTCTCCCTCTCCCTCTCTCTCTCACAAGCCTCACCAACTCTTTCTCCCCTTCTCCCCTCCTCTGCCTCCCGTCTGGCTCGCGACTCTGCCACATTCAACCCATGCGCCGGTCTTAGGCTCTCTTCCGCCTCGTTCTACTGTCTCTGCATGATCTCATCGAGTCTTGTACACCCCCTCGCATACCCCTGATTCCCGAGCCTCTTTACACAAGACCGCGGATACTCTATCGCATATCCCGCTTCGCACCCCCCGTTCTTCCGCCGTCCCACTGTCACTCTTTCCATCTTGGCTATACTTCTCTGCCACCGATCCTCAACTCAGCCTCACCGCGAAACGCCGCAAACAACTCTTTTGCTTTCGAAACCATCTCAGTACCTGAACACTCGCATACCTAGACAAGCTTGATCTATTTCTTGTTGCTTGACCCAGTTGTTCCTCACTGCGCCTGTACGAATACACAATCAGCGAACCCTAAGCATAAGCGCTGGGCGAAAGAAACGACCAACACGTCTAGGCCGCGCAAACGCCGCCGCCCTCCACGCCCGCCTCCTCTTCTTGTGGCTTTCCCTTTGCTCGCTGGCGACTGCTCTTCTCGTCCACATTCGACTGCTCTGTGGTATCGCATCGCCTTGTCAACACAGTCTCGTGCCTTTCCCTTCAATCCACAAACTGGTGCAAGACTGCTCCCTGAGCCCTATTGCGACTGTCGCCTAACCCCCGCCTTCAGCCTGCTCATTTGATCGCTTCCAACTCAACCAACTCAATCAAGTCGGAACATGACAGCGCTTGTCTTCTAACAACTCTCAAAGAGTAGTCCCGTCATCGGCTTTGGCTCCGTCTCGCCTGATCTATCGTGCGTTCACACCAAGCCGGCCTATAAATTACGATTAGCCTCTGCTACAGTCTTCCACATACACTCGCGTCGTGTCGTAGCCATGGCTTCGACATACGCCGTACCTCCCGCGGCCTTCCACGATGGACAAGCTAGCGATACCCACAACCCCTCCCCACCAAGCAGTGGTCAACGACGACTGACTGCCACTTCATTTGACCCGAATCATCTCTCGCCTTCGTCCCAGTTGCAGAGCAGCTCCGTCTCACCCAACTACAACGATACCCCAGCAGAGTCCATCTCCAACTACAGCCAATACCATTCGAGCGACTTCAGCGATATGGATGATGGACTGGACCCTTTCTTTGGCGTCGACTTTAGCAATACTGAAGCGGGTACGCCCTCTTTCCTGGACCCGGAACACAGGACCGACAGCTTCGGCCAGGCCACAATTTCTCAGGCGAGAAGCAAAAACCTGGACGCTAATACTTATCCATTCACCCCTGAGCAAACGGCCTCACTACACACAACTTCACCGCGCAGCGATATGAGAACAATTGCCAAGTCTGTGCCTGAGCGACTTCCTCTATCCATCTCACCTCAGGAGCTACAAAAGCCATTCCAACC